GAGCTATTACTTGTGTTCAATCACAAGGTGGATTGACCAAGTATTTTCCTATTTCGGTTGGGTTACATCAAGGATCAGCCTTAAGCCCATATCTTTTTGCTTTAGTCTTGGATGTTCTCACTAGACATTTGCAAGAGGATGTACCTTGGTGTATGTTTTTTGCTGATGATATTCTTCTTGTTGATAAGACTAGAGAGGGAGTTGAAGGTAAACTTGAATTATGGAGGTCAACCTTAGAGTCTAAAGGTTTTCGCTTGAGTAGATCTAAAACGGAATATATGGAGTGTAATTTTAGTAGTAATAGACCTAGTGAGGGGATTGTGACTTTGGGCGATCAAGTCATTAATAAGAGTACACGTTTTAGATATCTTGGATCTATTGTTCAGAGTGATGGTGAAATAGATGGGGATATTATCAGCAGAATTCAAGTTGGATGGTTGAAGTGGAGGAATGCATCGGGCTTGTTATGTGATAGAAATGTACCCCTCAAACTTAAGGGAAAATTCTATAAGATGGTAGTGAGGCCTGCAATGCTTTATGGTGCCGAATGTTGGCCTTTAAAAGAGAAGCATAATACTAAGTTAAGTGTGGCAGAGATGAGGATGCTCAGGTGGATGAGTGGCTTTACCCTTAGAGATAGGATACGAAATGAGCATATACGTGAAAAGGTTGGAGTAGCTCCAGTAGAAGATAAGATTAGAGAAAGTCTCCTTAGATGGTTTGGTCACATAAAACGGCGGCCTTGCGATGACCCGGTTAGGAGAGTAGAGGTATTAGATTTGACTTATGTTAAGAAAGGTAAGGGTAGACCTAAAAAGACTTGGTTAGAAAATATTAGGAATGACCTTGCTTTATTAGATTTAAACGAGAATTTGACTTTTAATAGGACACAATGGAGAAAAAGGATTCATGTAGCCGACCCCACGTAGTGGGATAAAGGCTTGATGTTGTTGTTGTTGTTGTTGTTGTTGTATAGATGTTGAATTTTTTTTTTATATAGATGTTGAATCTATTTACATAAATATAAGTATGAATTTTGTTGTGTATTTTCATATTTCAAAGCAATCAAATTAGGAAAAAATAAGCAAATAGGAATGAATTTCACCAAAGGATTTTTTAAATTATTGAAAACACTAATAGATTATCGTACAGAATATCACGAAACAATATCGATGTTATTGATGGATTGTTGGCAAATAATCTATCGATCTGATCATCTTATCAATATCATCGATATGGATTCTTCATTTTTCCCATCAACTTATTATGAACACGTACAAATCATTATATTACAATATTATTATACGATCTTATTTCTGAAGCTATACAAGCTTAGATTATGACTTCATTTGAGACAGATTTCTTATTACTTTTTAAAAAGGTTTTCTAGTAAACAAAAGTTTAGAACTAAAAATTTGTGTATTTACAAAGTTGGTTCAAAAAGTTATAAAAAAATTATCTCAAATGAAGTTTATAATCACGACTAATGATAATATCATTGATATTTGATGAATTGAGATAATAGACCTGTGTGATTCATAAATAAGAAATACATAATTTATATCAAAAAATTTATTTGACAAATACAAAATGCCCGACAATTGGAGCAATTTTTTTTAAATTGAATAGATATTAAAAATTTACACTAAAAACAAACATAGGGCATTATCATTAAGACGAGAACATTGTCATTTTTTAGTTATTTTAGTTTAATTTCATAGTTTTGATATTCAGTTCTTTTTATTATAAACATTTTACAATCCATTTTACAATAAAAAATGAATTAGTTGAGTTATTAATATTAAGTTTTCTATCTCACCTTTTGACAATAAAAAATAAGGGTTACTATTTACTATGAGGTTGCACGTAGCTCTTTTAGGTTATTGGTTGAGAATTTTAGCTATCAACTAAGACTTCATTTGGGACGGCTTTCTTTCTGCTTCAAAAAGCAGCTATCTAGTACAAAAATTAAAATTTTGTACTAGGAAGCTGCTTTAAGAAGCAACAAGAAAGTCGTCTCAAACGAAGCCTAAGAGGTATTAGGTTCGAATCTTATATATATAATGTGTATATGAATTTGTCTTATATAGCCTTAAAAAAAAAAAACCTTGACGTTACTTGTTTAACCTCTAAGCGTGGACTGAACGTTTTCCTAAACGAATGGAAAATTTTATTAAGGAGTTGCTGCTATTAAATTTGTCTAATGTAAATGAATTCAGAACAAAAATATATTAATTGAAGCATTCCAAAATTCTATTCTCTAAACGTCAATTCGTATTCTCTTTTCTTTTAATTAAATATTAAAAAAAATATTAAAACTCTTATATTTATTTACAGTACATTCATAATATTTCTGGAACTAAACAGCTGCAAAATACATGCCACACATGGTTCACATGCAGTACCAAACCCTTATCCTCATCGGAAAATAGCGGTTACAGTGTTCCATCGACTCCTTTTCGTCTTATCCGATGGCCCTGCTTCCAAAGCAGAAGAACTAAAACCATCCCTATCGTTTCATCAAAAGCTGCAACTGCGCTGCAGGAATACCATACCAGTTCCCTGCACTGCCACTTTGGAATTGCAGCTCCGGCTCCTCCCGAGCTTCCTATGCGTATCTTCACGATGTTCCTCCTCCTCCTCTTCTTCCTCCTCCCTCCCTTCACCTTCGCTTTCAAACACATCCACCCTCAGCTCCCCTGTCCTCGATCCCAACAGGTCGGAGCAGCGGCATACGGGGCATGAGCCGCGGGACAACAGCCACGCGTCGATGCACTGCGGGTGGAACACGTGGCCGCAGACCGGCATCAATTTCACCATCTCTCTCTCCTCGTACTCAGCGAGGCACACGGCGCAGCAATGAAATCCCTGACCCGAACCCGCACGAATCACCGGAAGAGCCGCCACAGTCTCCGGGCAAAGCGCATCAGCCGGCGGCGGCGGCCGCACGTACTGATTGCGCTGCGACACGGAGGGATGAGACGCGGTAGTGTCGGCGAACCGATGGCATGCGAAGAGGATGAAGGAGCCCAGGAGGAAGAGGACGAAAGCGGAGACGATGGTGGTGGGGACCATGGGCCAGTGGTCGGAGTGGTCGGGTTGTCCGGCTTGGAGGGGATAGGGATCGCCGACGAGTGGGTCCCGGTCGGCGAAGTCGGCGGACATTTGGGTGAGTTGAACTGCTGAGCTAGGTTGGTAACGGGAGATGAAAAGAGAAGTGATGACGCACACATCTGCGTTGGCACCTGAGATGAAAAAAATAATAATAAAAACGAACGCACACATAGCATCAATGTAATCTTACTAATCAAACTCATGGGCTGTTGTGGATGCTTTACCTTTGTAGGAAAAGAAGGGAAGGATGGTCAAAGTCCCCTCAATGAGATTCTATCATGACTTCTTATGTCTGGAAAGATTAGTCTCGAGTTTCTCTTGGCAAGCACTATACTATGTAAATGTATTAGGCATTAAATACTTAGATGATCCCACGGTTGTTTAATTTTGTTTGTGGGCAAGTTCGGTTGAAAACCCCCAATTCACTCTCGATTCCCCTTGAATAGCATTGCTTCTCAGGTGGAGCCTAATCAAGTGTGGGCCAGGAGGTTTCTGACGTGAGTGCCTCTTTTAGGTCTCCCGAGTATTAGTCACGTCGTCAAGCGCCTTTTCGGAAATAACAACAGGTAAACAAAATAAAGTCCACCTTTAAAGATCTCAACGAAACATAAATGCACAAAATCGAGCAGTTATTGAGAATATTTGCAGTGAGTATTAGAATATTATATTCTAATAAGCTTTTACCTCCCCCCTATATAAGTATAATATTTGATTTGTTTAGTGCATAATTCAAAGATTATTTATGATGTTGGAGTATATGGTGATGAGATTTGCTCAATCATTGGAGCCCAAGTGGAGAAGCAAGGGGGAACCAAATAAGGAGAAATTATTTTATGCGGAATGGTCCAGAGGTGAATAAGAACGTGCCATGTCACCCAGTACTGAGCGGTACACAACAGTGGTAAAAAAAAAAATGACGTGGTACATTCTTATTCGTTCCTAGGCCGTTCGATGGACGCACATAATAAATTCTCTCAAATAAGGGCCTATGATAAGAAACCAATTGAAGACTTTTAATAAGAATTCATATTTTTTAATATGTTTTATGCTTATTATAAAATATTTGTGTGTTTAATTTTGATATTTTGGATAATAATACAAAAATTTGAAGATTTAAATTCAAAATTTTAAAATTTTCAAAATTTCAAAAATTGAATTATGAAAGGATTACATCACTAAAAAAAGGTTATTATAGTATTAGTTTTAGACTTTTCCAGCCGTTTTAATCATCACTAAATTGTTTTCCTTTGATGTTGGAAATCAAAATCTAACCAAATTTGGGGGAAGTTACGAGAAAATATTTTATTTACATAAAAATTTTGAAAGTCTGAGTTGTTTTCTTATGAGTGGCATAATAGTTATTTTTTTATTGCATATAAAACTACTATTTATATTTCTACCATCACGTACAACCTAGCATAAAAGTTATATCTCTTTACTAATTAAACCAATCTTACTTCCATTGCTCTTATTGGTCCCTATACAATATTATGCAATTTTGACTTTAAATAAAATTTTGAAATAATGAATTACTTATAGCTTGTTGCACATAACAAATGCTTATTAAAAGCTAAATTATGAATTTATATTAAATGAACCTAAATCAAATTGTACATATTGCATACAAAACCTAAATCTAAAGAACCTAGCATTGCACATATTGCATACAAAATCTAGCATTGCATATATTGCATACAAAACCTAAATCTATTGAACATAAATCAAATGTTGAAACCTCATCCATTGTTCTTAGTGTGGGGTCTAATGCCTAATTGAAACCTCATCTAGCGAGTTACAACAGACCTACTTACCATCATCTACAAAATTGACTACTCCTATAGCTAGGGCAGAGGGAAAGGAATAAGAGCAAGGAAGAATGACAAGAAAGAAGAGGAGTTCACCTACGACTAAGGAGATAGAGATGAAGGTTGGTGTCAGTTAGAGTTGTAGCGACGATAAGGCATTCTCTGAACAGAATGAAATGAAGCAGACACGTTGAAATGAGGAAGGAGCGAACGGGTCGGGTGAAGTAGGACACATACTGGCAGATTAGTAACTTAAAATCGGCGTAAAGTCACCAGTAACTGTGTTGTACATATAAATTTTGGCAGCATTGTCGACGGCCAAATTACCGTTGATATAACAGTCTCTTATTACCAGCGGTCATGCCGCCAGCAATTCTGGCGATCATTTGGCCGCCGGAAATGTCGTCAGCATTTGATGAATTTTCTATAGTGATTGTACAATTCTCCTCTCTCACCTTCTCCTTAGCTCTCTTCACTCCTTACACCGTTCTTCTACAGAATTGACAAAATGACATACATTAACAATCTCAAGGGACACAACCCTTTAAGTTTAACATGAAAAACAAGAAAAAAAAATTATCACGTCTCGGAGCACAACGGAGATGGGGTTTGGGGCATTGAAGTGCTCCACTCTTTGTCTCTCATTTGATCTGTAGCAAAGTAGCGTTGCATCCTACAATGTTATAACGCTTTGCCCTCTATCTCCAACCAGTGACCGCAACGCCATAACGTACGAGTATACAATGCTACAACTAGGGGTGTCAATTTCGGGTCATGGGTCGGGTTCGGGTCGAACCCGGAACTGACCCCGGTTCAAACGGGTCGACCTTAACTGATCTGGGTAGATGTTTTGAAATTGGGTTGGGTCCAACCTGGATTTTTCGGGTCGGGTCCAACCCAGATTTTCTTTGTCAGGTCCCAGTCGAATTTTCGTGTCATGCCAAATATTGACACCCCTAGCTACAGCTAGCTTGATTGGCATAATTGAGTTCTAAGTCAATATTAATACAACCTAATTAATCGACACAATCATATTCCACACATAACTAACACCATATTAATAAACTTTGTGTTAAATGATGAATTGATGATATATCACATTTTGTTTCATTAGAAATGCAAATATTATGATTTAAATCAAGAATATATTGAGCATATATTGAGGAATAATATATTACTATTTATCAAAATTTTATGAATATTCATGCAAAAAATGTATATATTTTCAAAATTTCTACATGAACAAACTATTTTGAGTATTTTCATAACTTCCACAACATCTGATTATATTAGAATTTTCACAATCAAAAGAAGTTACTATATATAAATGTTGATCTACATCAATATCAATTGACATACATACACTTGATAATTTGTCATTAAATTTGAATCGAACAAATAAAGTATTATACTATTTAATTACTATATATTTGTGCTGAAGAAGCTTGCTTCAATAAGCTTTAGAAAATTATTAGAGCATCAGTAGATGAGAATTTTTACTTCTATAATAAGCTAATAATTCTTTCTATAAACTAACTACTTTTATACAAAAAGTTTAAAAAATAGAATGATGACATATATTTACAAACATAATATTTGAACTATCTATTCCTATTTTTTACTTAGCTATGTAACGCTCATATATGCAAAAATGTCTCAGTGTATGCTGCTACCCTCTTATCTTGAATTTCCCATTGTTCCACTGACCATTAATTATTTGAGTCCAAATTGTTATTACATTTAATATTACTCATTCATTTTTCAAATTCATTAATTCATTTTCTAGAATAAATGCATCTTTTAAAATTACTTAGAAATGAAGGATATGTTCTGATAATATGTGATAACCTCTTTAATGCATGAATAATATGCTACGGATAAAGTTTGTGATTTGATGATTTGATATCACTTTAATAACTGTTGCAAGTTGAGACATTTATGACCATAGAGTGAAAATATTTTGCATCTTAGCGATGTACGAAAACTTATTATACAAAAATATGATGAATAAAATCACCTGAGTTTTTATGTGAAAAATTTTGAAAAGGGAAAAAACCACAGGGTCTTGTCAAGTTGAAATGATTATATTAATGTTTGAATAGATTACAAAGGTTGATCCGTCCCTCAACTTAAGGGCTGTGAGAATACAACATATTGGAAAATTTGTCGAACTTCAAAAAGGTACTCTTTATCTTGATTGAATGACAAATATTAAAGATCTGGTGGCGATAGTCAATAGAATGTCCAGCAAAGGTCTGGCGATAGTTGGAGATATGGTGATAAGCAGCAGACAGGCAGAAGTCTGGCTATGTTTGGAGATCCTCAGTTAGTTAACAAGTTGCCGAAAGTTCATCGACGATCGTTGATCGGGAAGAGATTGGGTAGTGACCAATGAACAAGTAGAAGTCTGGCGACGATCGATGGTTGGGAAGAGATCTGGCGGCTGGTGGTGTTGACTAGAGAGTACGAGAGAGCTACTTAGTTTTCTTCTATCTTTTCCCCCCTCATGTGAAGAATGTGTATCTATTTGTAGTTTTTTTTAGTGTCATGTCTAGTAAATATTAAGAAGATTTATGGCAAAGTTTGGAGTGTTCCATTAGATGGATGATATCAATTCCCTCGATCATGAAACATTTTTCAAGCATTTATATGCCACAACAATGTTGGAATTAAGCGATCTTGGGCTCATTAATTTGTCTCGTCAAGTCGCTTGATTCGGCTATAAGCATGTCATATTCGGATATTAATTGGTCATCCAAATACTGCTCTCAAGCTTTAATGTAGGCTTTGGTCCTTTGAGTTAGGCTCAAGGCTCATATTGAACTGAATTTGATGCCATTGGGTTCATCTTTTTGAGATGTTCAATTTGAATATATATTTGCCGAAATCTGGGTTTGGATGACCCCAAATTTAATTTTGGAAGCTTTTGACTCATATTTGCATCGAGATTTGTGTCTGTTTAAGATATTTTTTTAAGTACATATCAATATTAAATATATAATTATTAGCTCCTTATTCAAAGCCTCCTTAAATATTTCAAATAACCAAACAAATTGTGATATAGTCTCATCATTTAAAGCGTAGTAGAATAAATATTTGATGTTGTTGTTGTATATAAAATGTAGCTCTAAAGATTAGTGCTTTATTAATGATTTTCTCCAAAATTTGGTGTTAATTAGAGCATATACTTAATTATTTTTTATTCCATGACTTCTCAGAGACGGATCCGATCAAAGGCAAGACACGTTACCTGTGCCGCAAGAGTCGGTTTACCGGACCGAAGCACATGGCGTCAGCTGCAGTTTTAAAGTGGGCTAGGCCTTCAATTTTAGCCCAACTTTGTTTGAAGCATTTAAAGATTATGTTTGTGACATGTGATGAATTTGTTTTATAATTGATCTAAATATTAAAAAAAAATTTGAGATATTTCAATATAATGTAAAATAAAATTTTGAATTTAAAATATTTTTTGTGTTTCATTATTTATAAAAAATTAAGAAGTTAATTTTTTTATATTTGATCATTTCTATAAAGTACAACCAATACTTAAAATTCAAAAAAGGTTAACAATAATAGTGGTTGGGCACAAAAATAGTTGACGATCAAT